GTCTCTAAATACCAACTGACTAAGCTTAAAGACTCCCAAAATAAACAGCTTAGCATTCCGGAAAGTTACCAGAGACTGGGGGTTTGGTAAATGAGGCACGAACCTCCTTGTCCTCCTTACTTAGACTCTGCTCAAGTGGCCCCTGCCTCCCCAGAGAAGCGGGCATATGTTCGTTTGGTAGCCAGTTGATAAGGGATGAGTCTCTAACACTTTGGCTTGTGAAGCTGGGGCCCCAAAACAGAATGTTACGTTGCCAACGAGACGAAATCCAAATTCAGCTGGGTTAGATTGTCCCCCCCTCCTTTTCCACCTGTCCCCTACCTTCCTATCCTCAAGGGGCTGATTCAAATCTCCCCTCTTCCTGTGTTTCCTGCTAAAACACGGCCGATACTCACAGCTCTTGTTTTTAAGTTTGTTTGCTTATCTATCTATTTGTTTGTTTGTTTTGAGAGAGAGAGAGAGAGAGTGTGTGTGTGTGTGTGTGTGTGTGTGTGTGCGCGCATGCAGGGTAGGGACAGAGAGAGCAGGAGAGAGAGAATCCTAAGTAGGCTCCACACTGTCAGTGCAGAACCCCCCTTGGGGCTCGAACTCACCAACTGTGAGACCATGACCTGAGCTGAAATCAAGAGGCAGGCGCTCAACCAACTGAGCCACCCAAGCACCCCCAACTTCCTGCTCTTAAGTAACCCTCATTTTGGGGTCGACAACACTTGGCACAGATATCACTCCCATTCCCTGCCCCGTGCAGACATTACTAATCGATCATAGCCCTTCTTCCTCCTGCCGATCTCCTACACAACCTCACAATTCGCTGCTCCAGGCAGCTGGTCCTGATCGGGGGGAATTGGCACTCACGGTGAAACAGCTTTGTCGTACCAGATTTAGATTCTATTTGGAACCTCTAGGCACTGAGAATAAAAATAAGCATAATAATAGCTATGGTTTATTGACTGTGCTACTTTTCAACTATCATCCCATTTATTCCTGTTAACAAGAATGGAAATTAAGCACTAGGTTCCCCCGTTTCGTGAACAAGAACACTGGGACTCAGAGAGGTCAAGTAACTTGCACAAGGTCACACAGCTGGGACGTGGTAGAAATGGAGTAAGAGTCTACTTCTAATATACTTTGAGGCCCCTGGGGTCTTGATTTCTCCAACACTCCACCCTGACCTCCAGCTGGGTTGTCCTAACATGCCGTATTATTTCATGCTCTGAGGCCTTTCCTTAGACAACTCCTTTTCCCCAGCATGCGCTTCAATCGTCCCGGCTGGTGGGAACCTCCTTATCTCCAGAGAGCGAGCTCCACAGGGGTCACGTCTTCTAGAAAACCCTTCCTGACCCAGCTACGACTAACCCCACTCTTCTTTTTGCCTCCTCCGCCCCCATGAGAGGACTCTCACCTTTAAAATCCCCCTTGAAAGTAGAGTCTAAGCACTATTGATGCTTCTATATCAAGTCAGTATGGAATGAATGAATGAATGAATGAATGAATGCAAGCCCAGACCCGAGGCTCTCAAGGGTGGGTTGTCGACTTTCCAGTTCTTCAGAAACTACTTGACCCCTCGTAGGTGTTTCCACGGCCTGCTTGCCAAGGTACTGGGTCCTTCGACTGGCTTGCCATCCTGCCCAGGCACGAGGACCCAAGGACCAATTCAAACATGGAGACATAATCAGCGAAGGCCACCAAAGGGCACACGCTCAGAGTGGAGATCCAGAACCTTTGACCAGCAGAGTTAAGGTCTTAGTGAGGACATACAGTGCCAAAGCATCAGACCCCAAAGCCCAGGTCCCAGGAACGATGGCTGGGTACGGCAGCCTTCTCGCCGGTCCCCACCTCTGTCTGTCCCTCCAATCCTTCCCCACACTGCCCTCAGGTTATCTTTCGCAGACAAACGTCTGGTCTATCCCTCTCCCCTGAAAAACCCCTTCCGTGGCTCCCCATTGCCCCCAGGGGGCCCCCACCAAGCCTCCATAATACGAACCCAAATGTCCTGTCCAGAGCCTTCTCCTGCCTCTCTCCAAGCCACCCCTGACATCTCAGGAACCTCCAGTGGCTTGAATCTCAACAGCACCCAGGTGATTCCTGGAGCGTGTGGGCCTTTGCTCATGGCATTCTCTCTTCCTGGAACAGCCATCTCCTTCCTTTCATCCCAGATGGCTCCTACTTACTCCCCACGACCCAGCGTGGTCATCACCTTCTCCTGGCTCCCAGATCAGGTTAAGGACCTGCTGTGTGCCCCCAGCCCCCTTCCTCAGCCACAACCCTCGCCTTGTCTGCACACCTGCGTGCCTAGAGCCCAGCACAGCGGATGGCAGTGTGCAGGCCACGCTTGATGACTGAAGGGTCAGATTCAGAGTGACGAGTGGGTCAGGACCCGTGACTCAGAACAAAGACCATGATGGCAGTTTGGGCTGGAGCTTTGCTTCGTGTTTCCAGCACGTATTTTGAGGGGCTAGCACGCATAGTAGGAGACTCGCTTAATCCTCTGGCCACTCTGCAAAAAGGAGGGTTAGCATTTGCAACCCCCCTTGAAAAGAAAACTCGAGATGCCTCTCTGTACCTACGGATGCCTCCTTCCCCAACTCTCTGGGCTGCTCCTACCTGATGAGACACACGTTCTCTCTCTATTTCTGGACCTAGACTACACTCTTCCCCCTTTCTCTTCCCTCTCCTATTGTCCTGCGTGGCTTGGCTGGCTGGGCCGTGTCCACTCCCTTCCTTTCTTCTATTCTCCACCAACTCTAACAACAATAATACCAAACACCTACACGTGGTAAGCCAGGCACCGTGTTTTACGTGTATTTTCACATAAGATCCTTGCAACGTCTTTCTGATGCTCAGAGACGGAAAGAAACGTGTCCGATGACACACAGCTAACAGAGTTCGCCGCCACCACCCCAGCTGGTTTGCTTGGCCCCGAAGCCCTAAGAAACTCCACCTCTCCTCTCACCAATTTCCGCCTTCCGGGGGCATCCGCCCTCCCTGCCAGTCACTGTGAACTTCCAGCAGAAAGAGAAAAAGCCACCTCTAATATGTTCTCTCTACCCTAGTCTTTTCCCCTTTCTCAATAAATCCATTTAAGAGCAAAGCATTTGATGGACAGTTTAATAGAGCTCTCCTTAAACCTGGCCACATTAATGATTTCTGGCTGGCTAAATGTCAGCTTCCGTAGTTCAATAGCTGTTTTCTTTCCTTAACAATCAGTGTCTCACTCGGGATTCTTCATTGGGTGGATAGGGTATAGTGCTTGAACAGGTCATCACCAAGTCGGTGGACCTGGGATTTAAGCGGGACTCGTTGTGTGACCTTAAGCAAGTCATTTAACCTCTCTGGACCTTAATGATTCTTTTTTTTTTTTTTTTTTTTAATTTTTTTTTTCAACGTTTA